AAAAAAAGGGGAAACTGTTCGATCGGACAAAAAAAGCTGTCATATCGAAATTCCACCGCCATATATTTCTGATGTTCATCTGAAACGGCTGTTTAAGCCAAAGTTGAAACCTTCTGGGATTACAGTAATGACATATATGAAATATAAGAATTAATTTACTTCCTCTGGGAGACGGAAGAAATAGCACGAATGGTAGCAAACGCCAACAGCAACTGCACGCTGATAAGCTGTCTGTCTTTTGGGGTTGATTAGAAAGCTTTAGGGAATTTGCAAAATTTAAATACGGCATCCGGTTCTGTAAGATTCGCTTACTCATTTCGGTAATAGAACTGGTGTATGTTAGAAGGCCAGTTTCGCCATCAGCTTGCTTCTAAACACCATCAACAATCTTGCCAACGGATGGTTACTGTTGACACTTGCTACTACTTGGTCTACTTCCGAATGTCTCTGTCTCTTGAAGGAAATAATTTTACGGAGGGGATTTTGGTTTTGATAAATGATAGCTAATAGGCATAAAGTACCAGGAAGTGGCGTTCATTCCTAGAATTTTAGTTTTTGATTAAGGCTGGGTAGTACTTTCACTGCATTTTACACTTTTTTTGTCGTTGCTTGCAAATTTTTTCCATTTTTCAAAAAAATGGACAGCATTTAGTTAAGTTTATATAAAAACAATAATTTTTTAGCGGCACACCAGTATGTTTTTTTTTTCTGGTTTCCTCACTTTTATAGATTCAGACTTGTCAGCTGACATTCGTGATTGATCACGACGTTTTCTAATCGGCATGTATTAAAGAGTGTATCCCTCTAAATTAATACTGACCTTCCAGAGACATGCAGGGGTCAGCACAGGTCTCCCCAAGATATGCAGAGATTAGCACTGGCTTCTCCAAACTGTGCCAAAGGGTTTATTAAAATTTATAAAATAAATGGGAGCAAAAATGATTTTGTTGTTGTTTTTTTGCTTATAAAAATTAATCCCGGGTCAAGGGTTTGCCTCTGTATGCCATGGCTTATGTTTCTCTTACTATCGGAAATTCAAATGGATAATTTAGTCAAAAGTCAATGCCCTCTCTCTGTACTCATTTTTTGTTAGAAGCAGTTGTATTCGGAAGTATTCCGAAACTAGCAAGTGCCGTTAGCAATCATCCGTTGGCAAAACTCTCGATGGCCCTCCTTCCCGGAGGTTGTTTAGAAGCAAGCTGATGGCGGGTTTAATTCTTTGATGGGTTGAGTAGTTTGTTGGATTGATTTTTATTCATTTTCGTACCCCTTACTCTCATATCTCTTCTCCCGTCCTCACTCCATTCCTGATACTCCTCCTCTTGCCCACCGTCCTCTTTTCCCTTGCCCTTTTCACGTTCTTCAAAAAGACCTCATTGATGTAATTGCTCAGAAAAATAGAAGAAAGAAAGTTCTTTTTCATAAGGTCTGGAAAATTTTTAAAGGAAAGTCGTTGTTACAACCATGGCTTTTCATTTGTGCTGTCACTTTTGTTCACCTCGATGCACTCTTTGTGCTTCAATCTGTCTTCGCACCGCCATTTTTGCTTTTAAAAGTTGATCTTTGATGATTTAGCAAAAAATTTTTTCATATGTCTAAAAACTAGTTTTTTTTGCAAAACGCTACAAGTATGAAGTGTGCAAACAAATCGTTTGTTTTTGGTTTATGAAGAATTTAATTTGTTCTTCTTGCAAAGCTGGAATTTTCTTTATTTGTATGTCTTTTTGCATGGGCTCTTAATCTTTTCTACAGTATTGCTAGTCGCTGGTCAGGCTGATACGGATTCGTACTACTTAAGTTTAGCCGGACAAAACGCATTCTTTCGATTTAGAACTACTAGCGTCTGTACCTTACCGGTGTCTCAGCACTACCCAGTTCATTGTTACTCTCACATACCACGATGAAGTGCTTGGGACGGGATTTTGTGAGGGATTAAAGACGTCACCCCACTTCTGACTTCCCTTCGGCTGTAAAGTTAGTTCTTTAAATTTCCCCTCTTATTTTACCGTTACTTCTAACATGTTCCATTATTTTTCATTGGTAAGGAGCCTCATCGCGGGGTCTTCGAGTGGCAACGTGCAAAACGAGTTGGTGATGCACAGCGCATACCAGGGATATCTCGAAACAGCTAAAGCCTTGCCAAGTGCTTCTTTTGGGAAATGTTAACCTCTTCAGGCGATGAACTGTTGCTAATCTTCTCAGGCGATGAAACGAACGTTAGCAGGCTGACTGTCAAGCGATGTGGCTTTGATTAAGCAAATTGTAAAAGTTAGCAGCTGCATAGTTGAAGAATGATTCTGTGAACTGCAGCTTATCAAAGTACCAGTCAGAATTTTCCAAATTGTAATTTTTCTTTGAAATATGGGAAAATTCTAACAACATACTTCAACCTCCAGCTGATCAAATTCTACCCGTCCTATGAAAAAAAAAAGCTTATGTCCATTATCGCGCGCTCCGTCAGTTTCTAAATTGCTTTTAGCTGCCCTTATTCCGTGTACTTCATTAATCTTCAGGATGGATGTGTGCCGTCGTTTGAGTCATTCATCGTCAGCTTCAAGCGTGGATACCAATCATTCCTCATGGAGTATTATTGGCGACGATGGTGAGGATGTGGACGATTACGAATTTGTTAGTATAAATGATTTTTATGAAGATGAAAGGGACGATTATGAATTTATTAGTAATCCTCAGGATTTATGTGAATGGAGGAAGATGGTTTGTATTTCTTTTTTTTTTTTTACATTTTTCGTAACTTCCCTTCCCCCGAAATCTGCAAAATTAGAAAAGTTTTTTTGTCCCAAAAGTCGAAGTTTTTCTGTTGGTTTTCCAATTTTAATGCGTTTTTTGCAGTTATGCAATGCAGAAAACACATATTGACGAGGGGTTGTCTCTGTGTGCGTCTGTACCGATTTTTCATCTCAAGACCTACAGAAGCTCAGAGCTGAAACTTTGGGAGCTTAATCTACATGCACGTACGGGTCCCAATCTCCAAAATGGGCGCCCTTACTCGCGTGATACCCACGTATGAGCCCGCCAAAGTTTTCTCCGGGTAAAGTCATAACTCGAGGATCTGAGAAGGTAGAAAGCTGAAATCTTACGGTGATGTTCCTCGTCCAAGTGGGTATTAACGAACTCAAACCGAACCCCCGGGTAAGCGTGGTACCCGCGCACGAGCCCGTCGAAGTTTTTTTTCGGGTAAGTTCATAAGTCGAGGATCTAAGAAGCTAGAAAGCTGGAATTTTGAAGGGATGTTTCCTGACAGTCTTGGCGGCCAGTCTGAAATTCTTTTATTTAGAAGCATCTGCCGGAAAAACCAGTGCCGTTAGCGACAAAAACCCGCGGGGAGCTATGCAAAAAACGCATCTTTGCACGGGCAGCCCATGCGTCGGCCAATTATTTTGTGTTTAAAAACTACTTGTGATGAGTGCAATATCCCCTATCCCCTTTCCTCCTCGTCGCTCCTCCCCCTCCCTCGCCATTAAATGAGTTCCTTTTCATGTTTGTTTTGAAATGAGGGAACATCCCATTAAATCAAATGATGAAAGAGGTGCATCTATTCTCGAAACAAATTAGCTGTGAAGAAGTTGGGAATGATTCCGAGAATAAAACTGTCACATGGACAGGTTTCTGGAAAAAGGAAGAAGGTGCAAAAGTTTGGGACGGGGGTGGGGGGGGGAGGTGGAGTTGATGGTTGGTCGGAGGAAGTTGAGTGATAGAGAAAAAAGTTCATAAGAAGAGCTGAGGTTATACTTTTTCATATATATTTCAAAAATTAAAAAAAAATCTCACTCTTGATGAGAGAATAAGCATTCGGAAGTAAGACTACCTAGGATTTTGCAAACAGTGTCTACTAAGTGACGAGGTTGGTGCGATCACTGCTTGGCGAAGGGTGCTTTGCTTCTTGCAAGCTGAGGCTGATTGAATCCCTGGGAGGCTAAGCTTAGCTAACTTATCATCAAGACGAATCAACGAAGCTTGGTTAAATTTGTTCAAAATTGATTTTCCTTTTGTTATTACATATTTTGATAAATTTTTTAAAAAATAAAGCCAGTTTTCTCACCCTTGTGGTACTCTTGTTTGCTAATTTAATTTTTTCATTACAGAAAAAGGTCTCAGAGTCGTAGCAAAGAGACGAGACTGGGATACTGATTGGAAAGGAGCTGGGACCATGCGCAGGGCATGATTTGAAACAGGAGCGGAGATTATGAGGGGGCGGGATGGGGGTAAAGGTTATATGGGTTTTTGTTACTAAGCAAAAAAGTGAGAACTGGTGGACACGTGTTTGCACTCCAAAATCTCATCGGAACAAAAAATCTGGCACTCGCACAGGATCATCATTTTTATGCGTTTTTGCTGTGCGCTATAGCGCTGCTACAGCCAGCAAAAACGCATATTGTCGAGA